CTTCATGTTGGCCACATCTCATAGTGCCCCAGACCTGCTCTCTGCTTTCATTTCTCGTCTCAGTTCATGGCAGCAGCATCTACCCAGTCACTAGAGTTAGAGTCACATGTCATGCCTCCCGTCCATGATCCCGACTGGCTGGAGTTGTTGCATCCACAGTCAGCATCATACAGTGCCCAAGAGCAAGGACTCTACATCGGGGTTGCCAGGGCTCAAACCCAGGTTTACCACTTACTAGGGGGGTGCTCTTGAGTAAGATGTTTAACCTCTATGTCTGACTTTACTCACCTATAAAATGAAGATAACAATAGTAGCTATTTCTTAGCGTTCTTGTGAAGCTTAAATATATTTGTATTTGTAAAGTGCCTAGAACAGTGCCTGGCACATGTGTTACATAGGTGCTTGTTAATAGATTTGTCTTGAGTTTGTCCTCACCCTAGTTGATCCTTCAGACTGCTGACAGATGTTTTTGTGGGGCTACTAATTTTTATGTTAAACCAGAGGCCAGTCACTATGTTAAGCGTTTTATATGTGGAATCTCATTGAATTCTCCAAACAACATGTGAGGGAGGTTCGATAATACCTATTTAAGAGATGAGGAAACCGGGCTTTAAGATCTAGTGCACTTCGCTGAAAGTCACACCGTTTGTAAACGTCAGAGTTGAGATTTTAATTCAGACCTGTCTACTCCCAGAACTAGTGTTCAAAACCAGGAAGCTACACTATCCTGCTTTTCTAAACCTGAGTTAGTCACTCACTGCTTAAACTTCTTCAAAGAACCCATGCTGCCTATGCTGCCATGAACTATTCCTTCACAATCTTCTTGCAACTTAACTTTATTTTCTACAACTTTCCTCCATGTAGCCTCCTCATTCCTTCTTCCTTTCCCCTCTCTTTCCCTCCTTTCCTTTGTTCCTTCAACCTTTATTGAATACCTGAGTGGCAGGCACTGTGCTAAATTGGAGAAAACAAGAGATGAGCAGTTTGTCTTCAAGGATCTCATAGTCTGATACAAATTATTATTGACAATACAGTAAGGGGAGTGCACTCGGGTGATGTGGGAGCCAGACTGGGAGACAAGGGGCAGGAGCAGGGAGATGTGTTAGTCCATTTTCATGTTGTTAATAAAGACATACCCAAGACTGGATAACTTATAAAGGAAAAGAGGCCTAATGGACCCACAGCTCCACATGGCTGGGGAGGCTTCATAATCATGGCAGAAGGTGAAAAAGGAGCAAAGGCATGTCTTAGGTGGCGGTGGGCAAGAGAGTGTCTGCAGGGGAACTGCCTTTTATGAAACCATCAGATCTCATGAGACTTATCCAGTATCACAAGAACAGCAAGGGAAAACCTGCCCCCATGATTCAATTATCTGCCACCAGGTCCCTCCCAAGATGCATGGGGATTATATGGGAACTACAATTCAAAACAAGATTTGGGTGGGGACACAGCCAAACCATATCAGACAGGTTCTTTGAGGGAGGACATTTGGCTGCTTTAAAGGATACTCTGGTTGGAAAATTTCCTGTTGTTATTTAGCAATTCTGGGCTGGACATGGTGGCTCAGGCCTGTAATCCCAGCACTTTAGGAGCCTGAGGCTGGTGGATCATGAGGTCAGGAGTTTGAGAGCAGCCTGGCCAACATGGTGAAACCTCGTCTCTACTAAAAATACAAAAATTAGCTGGGCGTGGTGGCACACACCTGTAATCTCAGCTACTTAGGAGATTGAGGCAGGAGAATTGCCTGAACCTGGGAGGCGGAGGTTGCAGTGAGCCAAGATCGTGCCACTGCACTCCAGGCTAGGCGACAGAGTGAGGCTTCGTCTCAAAAAACAAACGAGCAAACAAACAAAAAAACAACTCTGACTTTTTGCTTTTTGCCTTTGGGATCTTTGGGGTGTCTTTTTCCCTGTCAGATAGGTAGCTAAGACTGGATTTCAAAATCAGCTTCTCTGATCCTTGGACGTTTGTTTCCTTACACATACCTCAATTATAGCATGTATCGTGCGGTATTTTAAGAGCTGTTGGTCTTTCTGCCCGTCTTTTCCTTTTTCTTTTCTTTTCTTTTTTTCTTTTTTTTTTTTTTTTTCTTTTGAGACGGAGTCTTGCTCTGTCTCCCAGGCTAGAATGCAGTGGCGCAATCTTGGCTCACTGCAACCTCCTATTCCTGAGTTCAAGCGATTCTCATGCCTCAGCCTCCTCAATAGCTGGGATTACAGGCATGTGCCACCAGGCCTGGCTAATTTTTTCTTTTTTTTGTATTTTTAGTAGAGATGGGGTTTCACCATGTTGGCTAGGCTGGTCTCGAACTCTTGACCTGAAATGATCCGCCCACCTCGACCTCCCAAAGTGCTGGGATTATAGGTGTGAGCCGCCACACCTGGCCCCATCTTTCTGAGTAAATTGTGATTTCCTCCAAGGAAAAGACAAAGTCTTGTTTATTTTTGAACGGTCCTTCATTCCTAAAGTGACATGACTGGAATATCATAGGTCTCAATAAAGCTTTGTTAAATGAAGGGTTGCTTGCCTATTCACAAAAGAAAGTCTAAGTCAGGGGCTCTTCTGATTCAGAGTAAATCAGAGTCGGTGTTCAATAAATATTAAGTATTTGATGGTTCTATCAGTAAAACATCCAAAAATAATGCTGGGAATAGGAAATTTATTTATTTATTTTGAGACAGTGTCTCACTCTGTCACCCAGGCTGGAGTTCAGCGGTACAATCTCAGCTCACTGCAACCTCCACCTCCCTGGTTCAAGCGATTCTCTCACCTCAGCTCCCTAAGTAGCTGTGTCTACAGGTGTGTACCACCACATTCTGCTAATTTTTGTATTTTTAGTAGAGATGGGGTTTCACCATATTAGGCAGACTGGTCTTGAACTCCTGACCTCAGGTGATCCTCCCACTTCAGCCTCCCAAAGTGTTGGCATTACAGGTGTGAGCCACTGAGCCTGGTAGGAAACTTATTATTAAATCTACTTCTGTGGATAAATTAAGATTGTCGTGTCCTGGGTGGCAGGGCTCTGGATTAGGCATGAGAAAAATAAAGAATTATTGTTTTTTAGAGAGAGTTTTGAGGGTTTCCTTACTTCCTTGGGTTGGGCCATGGTTCCAGAATTTTGTGCACAATTAAGTCGTGGAGGTATGGTGCTGCTGGGAGCAACGTGACGTGGTCCACCAGGGTTGTTACTAAGAATTTACCTTTCTAGTCCATGACTGGCTGAAGGCCCAGGAATAGGAATCTCTTTCGTAGCTGTCGCTGTTTCCCTCTTCCCAGGCACAACATACAGCCATTTCCTTTCTGTGATCTTGCCTCCTTCCTGTTAGCACAGACCTTCCTTTTTGCCTTTCTCTTTCTCCTGGCAAGATTTACCCCCAGCAGAGGGGAACATTTATGGTGAGCAGAGGGAGGTCTGAGGTCTGAGGTCTGAGGTCTCACTTTCTCTCTTTCTTTCCTTTCCTTTTCTTTCTTTCTCTCCTCTTTCTTGCTTGCTTTCTTCCTTTCCTTTCTCTCTCTCTCTCTTTCTTTCTTTTTGACCCTGACTACCCTTTCACCAGAAGTTAAGGCTTTTATACAGAAAAAGCCAGAAAGACTCATAGCCTATGCCTATTTTCCATCTCGTGTCATCTGTCTCCTGGGGAAATGATTGCAGAACCCCTATTGGCATGAATTAAGGGGAAGGGAAAGGGAAAAAGTACATGGAGAAACAAAAGACTACAGCAGAGATTTATATCTCAGCATACTGCCCCAGGCATAGTAGTTCCCTAGTAAATCTTGAAGTCTTATCAAAATTGTGAGAGTTAGGCTGACCACTGTGGCTCATGCCTGAAATTCCAGCACTTTAGGAGGCCTAGGTGGGAGGACTGTTTGAGCTCAGGAGCTCAAGACCAGCCTCGGCAATATAGCAAGACCCACATCGCTCCCAAAAATAAACAAAAAAGTTAGCTGGGCATGGTGGTGTGCACCTGTAGTTCCAGCTACTCAGGGGGCTGAGGTGGGAGGATTGCTTAAATTTGTGAGGTCAAGGCTGCAGTGAGCCATGATGGTGTTACTGCATTCCAGCCTGGGCAACAGAGCAAGACTGAAAAAAAATTGTTAGAATTAAGGGACAAAGTACATGTAACAGGTTTAGAACAGTACTTGGTACAGGGACAGTGAGTCCTCAATAAATTATTAAATCTCCTCCACGCAGGGCAGGACCTGGTTTTCTGTCTTAAATCGGGGCTTCCAAGACAATCACTCCCACGCTCAGTGTAGTACAGAGCTATATGAGTGACCTCTTCCCATGTTTCCCAGGGACAGTTCAGCCCGGACCCTGGGCTTGTTTCTGGTATTACTGGGGCGGGCTTAAAGCTGTACTTCTAGGGGGTTCTCTTTCCTTCCAACATTGTTTTCCCTCCCAACCCTCACCCCCAACCTTAGGAAGCTCAGTTTACAACTGCAGTTGGTACCTGCACTTGGTGTTTTTAATAGCCTTTCTGATAGCCCCCAGGATTAGACAATTACACTGAAATTCAGAAGCAGCATGCACTTTTTGGCATTGATGTCTTTAATTAAATTCAACGAGCATTTATTGAGCACCTAGATTATGTAAAATACTGTTCCTTTAAATACATTTATTTAGTCTTGAACTATCTGCTTTAGCAACTTAGTTTGGATTAGTGCTGACTCCAAAACCAAAAACCAAAAGGTTTTATAAAGAATAAATATTAAAATAGAAAAATATTTGCACAGTTCTTTGTAAATATAAACGTCTTGTGTGGATCATTGTTGCTACGGTATTAATATTAATTGCAGTCACAACCCCGCTGCTTCGCAGGCCGGCGGTAGGGAACAGCTGTAGGCCAAGGAGCTAGACCGTCGAGGTCCGGGGAGGGGCCTGTAGCTCGTACAGCCCATAAGGGGCGGAGTCTTAAGAAACGTACCCAAACCCCACCCCTTACAGCGCCCCCGTGGTCAGGGCGGTGTAGGCGGTTACCATGGCGATGACGTCTAGAGGGCGGGGAGGGGCGGAGCTATGGAGAGGAGGAGGAAGATGGCGGGCGGGCGGCTCTGAAGAGACCTCGGCGGCGGCGGAGGAGGAGAGAAGCGCAGAGCCGCGCCGCGCCTGGGCCCATGTGGGGAGGAGTCGGAGTCGCTGTTGCCGCCGCCGCCGCCGCCGCCGCCGCCGCCTGTAGCTGCTGGACCCGAGTGGGAGTGAGGGGGAGACGGCAGGATGAAGTTCGCCGAGCACCTCTCTGCGCACATCACTCCCGAGTGGAGGAAGCAATACATCCAGTATGAGGTACCGGCAGCGGCCGGGGTGTGGGAGGACGCGGAGGGGCCACCTTCTCGCCCTGACGTCCACCGCCGCCTTCCGCTTCGGCTGCCTCCCTGTGCCCGGGCAGACTTTGACCAGCTGCCGCGGGGAGCCACTGCGGCATCCCCGCCGCGGCCGGCAGCCTCCTGGCCCCGCTGCCCTTCCCCTCCCCCGCAGCCCCGCTGCCGCCGGGGTAACGGATATGCAGGCGGAGGGCCGGGAGGACAGGCGCGGCCGGGGCCGGGGCCGGGGCCGGGGCACGGTGGGAGGGCGAGCTGCAGGTGGGGGAGTCGCGGTGCGAGGGCAGCCCCGGGGCGCGGCGGTTCCACGCTAATCCCCTGCTCCCCACTCGCCCTGACCTCTCGTCCCCACCCTGGGCGAGCGCCCCCTCGCCACGGTTAGGTCTTGTTTCTCTCTCCGCACCTCTCACCAAGGAATCCTCTTCCAAGGGAAGCCCCTCCAGTGATTTCCTTCATTCCGCAGAGCCCTTCGGCTTTTTTCCCACTTGCCCGCTATTGACAAAGGCTTTGTAACGGGGTGGAAACTTGACTTAAGTGTGTGTCACATAGGCAGTGGTGATAGTTTTTGTAAACACGTTGTAATCAACTATTCTGCGTTGATAATAAGACTCTTGTTTACTGATTGCATGAAGTCTACAGAGTAATAACATCTGTTTTTGCCTCTTGTTTTGGAATGGAGGGAAGATGATTACATTTTTATATTTTCTGTGAAGTTTCTGCTAGCTGGGGAGAAAAATTAGTATATTGTAAACAATATACCTTACCTGTGTATTACAGAAATCATGCTCCCCATTCCCTTTCAATTTCTGTGCTAACACTCCTGGAAGGGATTTAATAGACAGTAAGCAACCTTACGTTAATACAGGGAAAAGTAAAGATAATGAACCCATTTATATATTCAGACAAGATACCTAAGGGTCTTTAAGCATTGCAATAGGTTATCCTCAGTAGCTGGCAGTTCAGCTCCTGGATAAAGACAGACTTATCTGTACCTTCAGGAATTCACATTCATTTTGTGTGCAGGAACAAAGAATATAAAATCAAGATGAACACACATAACCTAGCTAGATTTTATGAATTAAACTATTTTAGTTCCCCATTTAATTTTTATATAAGTTTAGTGATAGGAGGTTTGGGCAATAGCAGTGAGTGTATTTATTCATATAGCCATTGTAATATTGAGGAAGACAGGGAAAGAAATTCAGGTTGAACAGAATCTTGAATATTGTGAAATATTGCAACCTAGAGTATTTGATTATTGCTAGAAATAAAAGACCAGGAATTAATAATACTTCCTTGTCACTTAATTTCTTACAGTGTTTTGTGGCCGTGTTTTGTAAGAATGAATGAAACGAGGGACTAACATTTCAGCCTGCAGCATTGATTTATTGTTTCTAATAACATTCGGTTTTAAAACCCTGGCTGGAGTCCAAGTGATGGTTTTTATTGAAAGACGGGTATTGGTCTGTCATCTTTCTAGTAGTAATTTTCAGCACCACTGCCAGTTCTTCATAGAGGCACAGGACAGGAGCATGCTGAAGCACATCTTATATTTGTTATAAAGCACGGAATGCTTTGGGCAGAAGTACTAGTGGCTGGATGTATGCTATGATTCATTTTAAGTATTTCAACACTTAACTATTTCATAGAATTGTATTAATTTGCAATACCTAGGACCGGAAAGAGAAGCATAATTTAGTTTGAAAATGGACCCTCTTCATTTGTAAATGTCACTTTTGTGGCTGGAGGAACCACCGTGATTCTGGGACTCCTCATTCACAAGTCTATGTGGGTACTGTTCATAAATGTTTATTGTAGGTTGGTCACAGAGGTGCAAAATTTCTGAGTGTGTGTTGTGTCTGCATTATGTTTCTCAGGCCAGTTATAAATTATGTTTTGAAAAATTAATTTGTTGTGGATAATTGAAATTTGATTCTGCAGAGAGTTCCTACTGTATGACTCCCGTCCTAGATAAACTCGTTTGGTAGGCAAAATTAAATAAGGGGCACCTTTCTTTGTAAATTGGAGTCAAAGAATATTTTATAGGGTTGGAATCTTTGTTTTGTGTATTGTTTCTGAAGAGTTGCTGCTGTTCCTTTAAAAGTAGTAGAGAGATGTAAATAAGAGTCTTTATAGAGTCCAGGAATTTTAGCAGTTTAAAACTTTGGGGAAAAAGGACATCCATAAAAATTTGCTAGGGAAAAAGAGCTTTTCATAATGAATTAAACTGTAGGTTCTCATATGAAGATGATACTCTTTAAAACTGTCAGTAGAACAGATGCTGCGATTTGTTTTTCAAGCACTGGTGGTGAAATTTTGGTGTATTACCCTTGGTTTCTAGCCTAGGGTGCTTTCTAGTGTTGTGAATCAGTATGAACTGTTCAGCTTCTTCGATTTTTGTGTCATTTTGCTATATTAAATATTACTTGAAATTAGCAGAGAATTAGACTGAAAATTTTGTTTTACATCTATAATCATATTTAATTATATATAATATGTATATTTGGTAACATAATAAATGGTAGTTTTTGTGTATGTTAGCCATGAGACCTGGGACAATCTTTTTTGCCTTTCCCGGGTTCGTTCTTCTTCCATTAACTAAGTATATAGGGGCCAGAGCTTTTCAAGGCCCATTCTAATTCATAAGTTTTTGCTTTAACTTTTAATGGATTTTATTCCTTAAATTGTTAAAATTATTAACAGTAATGGCCCATCAATATCCTGAAAATTATTATATTTTTTAAATTTAAAAATAAGTTGTGGTGTTCATAGATTCAGTCTTCATGGGCAGAATAATAAAGCATAAAAGCATAAAATAATAGACCAGCATGGAGAAACCATATAAAGAAAATCTGTTCAATCCCCTTGTAAGTAGTTTTTACAGAGAATAATGACAAACAAGCAGAGACTATTCCTGTTTCCAGTAATCTATTTTAGTATCAATCTTGGCATATAAAATAGAAAATCAATAAATCTTTATAAAAGCTTTTTAAAAAAAATTTAGAATTAGTGCTTATATATTTTAAAGCTCTGCAATTGATTCATCAAAATTAACTGAGACTGGTTTCAACGAAATAGTCTAGTATGACCATGTTAATATTTTGCAGAATATTAGCAAGAGAAGCAAATACATTTGGTGTGTTAGGTTGCTGAGTTTCCCTAGGGCCCTGTATTTCTTTGGTTTCTCAGGACCCAGGAATGATTTTTTTCAGTATATACTTTGTTTTGTGCGATACTAAAATAACAAGGTTTCTAAAGTACAGGATTTTAGAGCTAACAGAGAATTTAAAGATTATCTACCTTGTTTTTCCAGACAAGGAAACTAAGGTCCAGAGGGGTTAAGCCACTTGTTAGGAATAGGTGTGTATGTCTCTTGAGCACATGTAAGCCTTGAGAGTCAGGTCACACTGTGTGATCCTGATGAAATCATTTCTTCTTTTAGCTAAGAAACATCAAAGTTTCCTTAATGTTAGAGAATTGGACTTGATTTCTAAGCTCACAGCCCCATATTATTTAAGGACTCATCCAGCTCTAAAATTATGTGTTTTTTAATGGTTTAATTTTATTTGATATATGAAGAAGACAGAACTTACAGGACTAATAATAGCATCCTTTAAAATTAATAATATCTTTCAAAATTTTTTGATGATATTTTGATCTGTGAATGTTAACCCAATGAAACTCTCTTATTTAGCTTAAAAAGGGATGGTCATGAATTAATTTTTTATTGCAAGATTTTGGAAAGCAGAGGTTCTGCATGCACTACACTTCCCTTGTATTCAAGTATAAGGAAAATTACCATAACATTATTATGATTTTCATTTATAGAACTCTCTCATGGGAATACTCATGTTACAGGCTTCAGTTTCCCAAAGGTATTGTGTTGATTAGGTAGGGTTAACTTGCCTTGCTGTAACTTGTTTGAAATTTCCAGTTTGGCCACCCGATGGGGCACAAACCACACTTTTTCTTTCAGACACTTTTGTAAATGAAAGTATAGTATAGTATATTTAAGGTAACACTTGTAAATGATCGCATCAATGAGATAGTTGGCATTTACAAATGTTTCTTAAGTGAGTGAATGAATGTTGTAAAGACAGGAAGCTATAACGATTCTGCATTATCTTTAAGTGTGTTTGGGAGAGTATCCTGGAAAGATTATACTTGTCCGTTTATCCCTGAAGGTTGGTTTTGGATCAGCTTTTGGGTGAAGGCCCAGATCATAAGAATCTAAGAATCTTATTTGACCTGGGGTGACCATGGAAAATTAGTCCTAGCTTCAAATTCAGTCTTAATCTGGGAAGCATTTAAGAGAATGATTGAGTTGCGCTGGGTAGGAATTTAAGGTATATTTGAGTTGTAGGCCCCAGAGGAGTGTACCTGAAACTCCCATGGATTGAGAGAAGACAGTATTAGAAAACTAAGGGGGCCAGGTGCAGTGCCTTACGCTTGTAATCCCAGCACTTTGGGAGGCAAAGATGGGCGGATCATGAGGTCAAGAGATCAAAACCATCCATCCTGGCCAACATGGTGAATGTTGAAACCCCGTCTCTACTAAAAATACAAAAATTAGCTGGGCATGGTAATGCACACCTGTAGTGCCAGCTACTCAGGAGGCTGAGGCAGGAGAATCGTTTGAACCTGGGAGGTGGTGGTTGCAGTGAGCTGAGATTGTGTCACTGCACTCCAGCCTGGCAACAGAGCGAGACTCCATCTCAAAAAAAAGAAAAATAAGGGAAGACAGAACTGTTAATTTTAATCACTTTTATGCATAAGAAAAGGAAGAAATAAAATTTTGCTAGTATTTAATAAGTGAATTGATGCAGTACCCCTGCTAAGGAGGTCATACACAGGTATTCAGAGGAACACAGGATTGCCAGTGGCTTTCTCACTTACTTGTTCACTTTTGCGGATAAACAGTAATCCAGTTATGGGTGCGTAGTTAAATAAAGCTATAAATTTTTA